GATTGTCAAATGACACGTTTCGTTTATGCTGTTTATCTTTTCTCCTTCGTCTGTGACCAGAACAAGCGACCTTGAAAACAGAGAAGAGAGACAGCCTTCGGTGCAGCAGAGTAGCGTTCATCTCCACTCGCTCCACCGCTAATGGCCACGTTTTCTTGTTCAGCTAGGCCTACTAAGCTATATGCTGCTCTTCCTCTTCCCCCAGCCAAACATGGCACTTCTCATCATTCTATAATGCTCACATTTCCCTCATCTTCAAAACCCAAAAACAATAATTCTCGCGTAGGCATAGACTTATTATCAAGCTCCAACAACAACCCTGATGATTATTGGGGATATTGGAGGACCAACGTTTCCTTCTTTCAATTTTTTTCAGCCAAAGGTAAAGATGTAAAGAGCCTTAAACAGCAACTTCTTGAGGCAATAGCGCCTCTTGATCGGGGTGCTGTGGCTACCCCTCAGGACCAACAACGCGTTGATGAGGTAATTTAACTTGCTACTTCCACTTCCATGACTGTTAATATTGGAGTAGTATTCATGCTAAACATGGAGCAACATTTTAAGAAGAATCAAGCATAAATAAATACCTGAATTGATATAAAAAAGCATCAAGAAATGAACTCTTCGGTGTTTTTGATGATTTTTTCGAGGAAATTGCATAGGATATGTTATGGCTAAAGTAGATGTAATCATAACACCTATAATATATGGGTTTAAATGATAATCATAATAATAATTAAGGAAAGCCTCTATAATTCAGGTGGGGTTTGCATGGTTTAGCCCAGCATTTGATTTGAGGTTTAGGATTGTCATCAGTTGGTTGGATCATGTGTCCGAAACAGTAGTTTGAGGAGTTCTCTTCATAGCTCATTGGCATTTTATTGTGTGTTTCTGTATTAATATTTTTTCTCTTCTTTGATCAGATTGCTCAGGAACTTGAGGCTGTGAATGATATAAAGGAGCCATTCAAGTCAAATCTTCTGAATGGGAAATGGGAACTTTTATATACAACATCTCAATCAATTCTTAAAACAAAGGTTCGATTTGTGTTTTGTCAACTTAGTCTCTTAGTTGTTTGACTACACAGTTGTGCAAGTTCGTATAATTTCTAAACTATGTATTAATTGCTCTGCACTCTAATGTAATTCCCTGTTACTGAGGTCATAGGTGCTCCTGAGCACTGTATGGTTACATGATATATGCATCTCTGTGTCAAACTTGTGTTGTTGCCTTGTTAGTGGGAAGTGTTGTTAATAACTTTGATGGTCAAATGCTAAGGTTACAAGATTAATTTCATGGGGTCTCTAGGAGTGTAGTTGTCAGGTTTGGCGCCCAGTTTTTCGAACTTGGTATTATATAGCTTATTTTCCAGTGAACTTGCTGGTTTATACATGCAACTTTAGCTTAGAAATTAACAGCAAACGGATTGAAGTCTTGTTTCTCTCTTTATGCTTAATCCTGGAGATCAACATGCATGGTGATGGCGTGGAGAGATTTTCTAGTGTAAGAAACAGTATCAAGCAATTTATTCACCATAAGAGAGATGCAATTCTTCTGTATTATGGTTTGCAGACGACAAAATCATGGTGCTCCGTTAGATACACAAAACAGCAGAATAAAAAGCTGCTGTAATTGTTATTTGAGACTGGAGATGTTATCCTAAGGAGATTCAAGAGCAACTAAAAAATTCCATCAGCTGAAGTGCATATTGAAATGAGGGCAAGCTGACTGTGTTACATAGTCTCTTATCTTATAGTCAATGGCAAGTTTGTCTGTGGTCAGTGGTTGGATTTGGAAAGGCAAAGAACACAAAAAACTGGACTGGCACTTTGTTGACTGTTCTTGATTTCAGCGTAAGAAATATCGGTTCCTATGCTTACAGCAATAGTATACAATCTGATAATGGGAGAGCTGAAATTGAGAGGCATTTTACAACCTGATGCATTTATTCTCCAGGCAGAATTTAGAAGCAAAAAGCCCCATTCAGCTACATGGACTTTTCAAACGGCATAGGAGAAAATATTCTTTAGCAGAATCCATTAACAAGGCTTGTCAATGTCCCGTCTTGATTGTCATGTCAGAGAAAAACGCCTGAAAAAACTACACAGTGGTTGGAGTATGAATATTACTCTGCCCATGGCGGTAGGTAGTTCCTTCTCATTTCACACTGTACGCAGCAAGTTTCTAACTCATTAAGCAATTTTTTGCTTGTAACCAGACCTTCTCTTCAGTTATCAAGCTGCATTATCATATATCTACATATAGCTGGGATACAGGCAGCGATGAGCGTTGGAAAAGCTCTCTCCTCTCTGATTTAACATGGCTGGATTATGTTTTATTAAGGATTGAGCTTCCATTATATTTCTTTTCCATAGTTGTCTTGTGGATAGATCACTGCTCTTCTTTCTTTCTTTCTATCTTTTCCTTATTAGCATAAACTATAATGCTTCTCTCTTCTTGGTGTATGGAGTCATTCCATCTATCTGCAGATCTGGCTATTTCTTCCTGTAATCTTTTCCTTCATTGTTTTCTTCTTGTTTTGCACAAGTTTTAATCTCTTGTGTATGATGCTTGCACAGCAGAGACCAAAGTTATTGAGACCAAATGGAAAAATCTACCAGGCAATTAATGTGGATACTTTAAGGGCTCAAAATTTGGAAACTTGGCCCTTCTTTAACCAGGTACTCCTCATTCTATGCCTACCATATACTCTTTTCGATTTTTGCCGTTCTTACTTGTTATTACTTATAAACTTAAAAGTTTAAGTTATTAGATAAGATTTTAAAAATTATTTTATATAACTCTTTAACATTCCTTTCATATGAAAGTTTTTTAAGGTTGAAACTTGCATTATTGCATAGCTCATCACTGCCTTGTAAAACTCGTGATTATTTAGTCATTGAAATTTTGATACCATATAAAAAATCTATTTCAATCTATAAGATTGAACAGTTAGACGAGGCTTAAGAGAGCCATTTCTGAATTGATTATTTTGCGAGTTTTTCTTTCTTTTCTTAACCCATCAACTAAATTGATCAATGTATCTGCAGGCCACCGCTAATTTGGTGCCTCTAAATACAAGAAGGGTAGCTGTTAAATTTGACTTCTTCAGAATTGCAGGTCTGGTACGTATTTTAGCTCCTGGTATTATCTTGCAATGAGTATGCCCTTATCAATCTTCATGTCATGTCATGCAAGGGCATACTCAAAATGTTCTCTCAGCACTTCTTTTTCGATTCTGACAGAGCATATCGTTAGCCATGTATGAACACAGTTTAAGTTTTTCAATCCTTATGAGTGTTTTCCATGATCTTGACTGATAATGTTAAGACTCTGTAGATACCTATCAAATCACCTGGAAGTGGCCGTGGTCAATTGGAAATCACCTACTTGGATGAGGAGTTGCGGTAAGTGATGCAAAAGCTTTTCTTCTTCAAGCATGATCATATAGTGATCAGATTTCAGATCATTCTTGAACTTAACAAGCATTGCTGGAATCTGTTTTGTGCATGACAGTCCTCAAGAACATGTTTTTTTCAGTTCCCTTTTCTTTTTCTTGTACCAAGTATATATTGAATAAGGGTTCAGCATTGAACATCTGCCTTAGCTTATGCAAGTCTTTTCAACAACCTTGTGCTTCTTGTTGAGCTCTAGACGATGGTCCCTTTGTCTGCAGAATATCAAGGGGTGATAGAGGAAATTTGTTCATTCTGAAAATGGCGGATCCATCTTACAGAGTCCCTCTCTAATGTAATTGTACTGAACCTTGATTGTTAAAGCAAAGTTGTAAGATTGTATAGTGTTTGCCCTATAAAGAAGAGAGCTCGAGTGTCCAGGTGAGCTAGATCATGGTTGTTAAACCGGATTTGGTTTGATGAGTTATACTTAAAAACATTCAATGATTCAAAATTTAACCTAGATTAGGTTTGAGATTAATCTAACGAAAGAGTTGTCCAGTCGTAAAGCATGAATTTTCATGCTTTTCAATCCTAAATAAATACATTCTTGTTTTTTTTTTTTTTTAATTTACGTGGATGTCCGGACTAGTTTGTGTATACTACGACTAATCCCACGGTCTACTGAATAATCTGCAAGTCCAATGAGAATGTAAAGTACTGTGCAAATGACAAGCATGCACAATGAAACTTGAACCCGGATGCAGAGAAAAGGAACAAATCTCTCCCATCGTTGGGCTAACATCTTAAATGCTAAAAGTATTTTTAGGTTAAGTTGTAGTTGATGTTGTTTGGAATTGAGTTCTAAGTAGTATCTTTTACAAGTTAATTTTTTTATTTAAAATTATTTTTTATATATTTTTTATCTATTAAAAATAATTTTTAAAAAAATATTATTTTAATATATTTATAAATATTTTTTTAAAAAAAATAATATTTATCAAACTCTTAAACATATTGATTATTATGGTATCAACTTTGAAATATAAAAATTCATAGTTATTCATTAAAAATTAAAAAATAAAATAAATATCCTATTTTAAAAAAATATAGTCATAGATTTTTTTAATTTGTTTTTTATTTTAAAATATATTAAAATATTTTTTTTATTTTTTAAAAATTATTTTTAAAATCAACCTATTAAAATGATTTAAAATATATTTAAAAATTAATTTTTAATTAAAAAATTTAATTTTTTTGAAAAACAAGTTAGACAAATTTTGGGTTTACCAGTGTATTCTTCAAACTCATTCAAGCAACATGACATGCCATGTTATGCGAATTAGGTACGAGGGAAATTAAAAACTCAACCACGTGTAAATGGCACCGTTATAATGATGATGGTAATCTAACGGAAATAATCCAATTTCCAACAAAAAAAAAATAGTTGGAGAGAGCTCCAATAAAAAATTAAAAGTTTAATTAGTTTTCAAAATATTCAGATAGTGTTTGTTTATGTGATGAGGTTAATATTTTGTTTTAAATTATAAATTTAAAAATATTTAATTGATTAATATTCACTATAATTTTATATGAGTACAGTTAGTTTTGTTTGTCAAAATGCTTTTTATTGTAAAAACATTAAATTTAATGTTTTTAGGTAATTTTTGATGATTTTGATTAGCTAATTATTTTGATATATTTTAAATTAAAAAATATATTTTAAAAATTTATTATGCATTACATTACTAAATACACACAAAAACTTAATTAAAAAATTATATTTTTAAAATCTATATTTATATTTTGAAAAGCATTTATATATATATATATATATATTTTAAATTATAACAATAAATACAAACACAATACTATTGGCCAAGACAATTAGGCAAGGAAGCCATTAGGTAAAGTAAAAATCATAACTTTGAAGTGTTATTTAAGAATTAGGTTTTAAATTTATTTTTAATAATTACAAGTTTGAATTTTTTTAAAATTAATTGAAGGTTTATATAATTATTAATTTTAAAATTTATAAAATTAGTTAAGATGTTTATAAACTGAATTATCTCAAAAATTTATATTAATAATTAAAAAAAAACCACAAATGATTAGGATTGACTCGAACTCTTACCCTGTATTAATTTCCCTTTCATGGCCTTTCATTGTCACTAAACACATGAAAAAAAACAACAACAAAAACAAAACCCTTTCTCTCTCCCTTCGGCAAAACCCCACCACGGACAGACAACACAATTTATTTATTTTATTTTTTTAATAATTCTATATCATATTAATATATTAATATCAAACATAAATTTTAAAAAATAAAATAAAATATTATTTTAATATATTTTTAAATACAAACCAGTAAAAAAAAAAAAAAATACTACTCCCTCTCTCATGATCGAAAACAACCGCTTCACAAAAAAACAAAACAAAATCTAAGCAGCGCGGCCGCCAACGTTAAGTTCTACGAAGACAAAATGTAGTAAGAGATGGGATGGTTTTTCTCTTCGAAACCAGGAAGACAACCACCAAAGTATTCTTCAATGGCTCCACCTCCTCCCTCCCTCTCTTCTCTTCTCCCCCACTCTCATTCTTTCCTTCCTCCCCAAAACCCTCATCTCACCCACCGTTACGTGCCCTCTCCCCGCCCCTCTCACTCTTTATCTTTCACCACGAGATTTTCTCCCGACAACAAGCTAAACGAAGACAAGATCACGTACCCGCCACCGCCACCGCCCCCGCAGCAGGAGAAGAAATCGTTTGCTGTTGCCACCGGTGAGCTTTTCTTGGGAATTGCGTCAAGGGTTTTGAGGAGCAGGAATAAGAATAGTTATAATAACGATAAAGTTTCTGGGCTGTCTTTGCTTGAGAAATCTGATGATGGGAATGTGGATTATGAGGAGAGGATTGGGGCTGTGATGGAGGATGAGGTTGAGCCTGTGGTTATATGGGAACAAAGAGTTAAAGATATTGAAGCGGAGAAAGAACGGCCTGTTGTTACGAGTCCTGGTTTTTGTTTCTCTGCTGCTGGTTTGTTGTTTCCTTATCATCTGGGAGTTGCTCACTTGCTTATTGAAAAGGGTTATATCAAGGTCCCTTTTCTCTCTCTCTTTGTTTTTCGATTTCTTTGTCGGTTTGATAGAGTACCGTGTGCGTTCGTTCTCTTTTTGTTAGAATTTGTTTTGTGTCTGTGTGGTGTTACTTAATCATGTTTTGGATTTTCTTACTTGATTTTCATAATTTTTCATGTTGGTTTTGTTTTGCACTTCTTTTTTTTCATTGGAATTAGAAACGTTTGTGACCTCGACTGGTTCTTGGTTCTTGTCATGGATATTGTTTAGAAACTGCTAATTTGATCAATCCATGTATTGTATTTACATAATTAAAATTTTAAATTAGATTGCACTGTCGTCCAAGATGTTCTCGTATTTGAAATTTGTGCATCATGCAAGAAATAGACAAGCAGTGGAAAGCAAAAATGAATCCACTTCTCTTCATGTCCTCGTATATGATTTTTCTTTTCTGCTGTATTTAGGTTGTTTAGTCAAACTGAGGATCGATAATTCTAATCTTTAGCTTAAGCCTCTGTTTCTTTCTTTCGTTTTTCTCTTTCCATTTAAAGATTAATTTTCTTATGTTCTAAACAGGAAACCACACCATTGGCTGGTTCCTCTGCTGGTGCTATAGTGTGTGCTGTGATTGCCTCTGGGGCTGGTATGCAGGAGGCTCTAACAGCTACCAAAGTGCTGGCTGAAGATTGTCGGCTAAGAGGGACTGCCTTTCGGCTTGGGGTATGTTTCTACTCCAATACTTTAGTACGGTTATCAGAGCTTGCATGCAATTTTTCTTAACTTACCAACAGTTAATATCTGAATTGGATTGTAGCATTTAATCTTTAAGATTTGCTGTGTCTGCCTTCCATTCTAAAGAATTTTCACAGCCAGTGACTTATGCTTTTAATGCCATTCGGCTATGAGTCCACATGTCAATACCTGAGTTAATCCTTCTAGTGTTTTGACCTTCATCATATCCCATTTTGAGGGCTGTGTAACCATGCATTGTACACTATAAAGTTGCCTTTACAGTTTGAAGTAATTGTTTTTATGAGATGAAACAAATGGGAAGGAATTTCTAGAAAATGGAAGGCATATGAATAAGAGATATTAATTCAAGCAACTAGTTAACAATGTCTGAAGAACCTCTGCGGGCCATGAAATATCATGCTTGCAAATAAAGTTATGCTCTTTTACTGCTTTTATTGCTGTGCACCGTGCTGTCTCATATGATCCCTGATCATCATTTGCTGAAAGTAGTGATCATTTGCATAGCTAAGACTGAGCAGGATGCTTTTGCAGATGCTGATTCTAAACTTGCAATAACAGCATGCTTTTCTCACTACTTTGAAACAATTTGTCATGCAATGTAAAATACCATCAAGGGCAAGTTTCTTAAGTAAGTAGCTTTAAGGGAATGTTTGTAATGTAGAAAGAATAAACATGATATTGGGTGTTTAGTGTGAGATTTTGGCCATTATGCAACTTTATGCTAGCTCTGTGAACAGTAAACCTTGTGCAAATTAATAAACAAGCTAGGATTTCCTATATGTTTCTGCTACAATTTGTCTTGCAATGTGAAATAACCATTGATTGTACTTTCTTTTCCATAGGCTGTTCTGCGGGATATTCTTGAAAAGTTTCTGCCAGATGATGTTCATGTTAGGTGCAACGGGAGGGTTCGAGGTGAGAACAATTGTCTTTCCTCCACCCTTATGATTTTTAGTAGTGCTCTGAGTTAGAAGGTGCTTCCTAGTAGAAAATATTTCATTTTATGCAAATATATGTCTAGTTGCTTTAGAATGGTATAAAGAATTGGTGCAATTACTCAGGCAAAAAGACACCATGAATGAAATTATGCAGAGATTTTTTTTTTTGTGTGTGTGCTGGGTATTCCAAATAGGTTGTGTGCTGATAATTTAATGCTGTAGGCCACCATTCTCTGCTGCGATTTGGATAATCCAGTTAGGACTATGACCTTGGCTTATGAATTGATAAATCTATGCTGCTATAGATGTTGTATGTTCTAAGTTGTGTCCATTCCAAGGCTTGCCTGGGTTGATGTTCACCTCAATCCTCACATTGGTCACATGCCTTTTTTGGGTCGTGGCCGGTACAATATATTGAAGATGAAGCAAAGGAGAGTACTATGAGTTTAAGTTTTGGAGATTCATAAAATATGACATGGGGAGAAATCACATGGCCTAAGGCACTTGTTTTTTATTTAATCTGTTTGTACTCTTCTCATGTAATGTAGGTGTATCACATAACCATGGTGAGATTGAATTACCCAAAAAGTCAAACCCAAGATTTACAGCTTGTAAATGCGGGTGTTATTTTTCTGAATTGTTATATGGGAGCTAGGGTTGC